ATCTGTGTGTATTAGACTGTTGGGATAGGAGTAGAGTGTGCTTGAAACCAGTTTGTTCAGATCAGAATTGGACAAACATTTTAAATGAAAAGAAAATTCAGTGGAAAGTCATGAGCAAAATCAGTATTTTGTTAGAAAACCACATCCTCAGGCCTAGATGGGTCAAGGTCTTCACTCAAGTTCTGAAAGTTTGAGTTAAGGAAGGAGGTATCCTCTTGGAAGCCTGTAGTTAAGAGATTTGTAAAGAAATGGACAATGATATGCAAGGTTTATGGAATTTTGAAAGTGGCTTAAAATATTCATTTGAGTATAATAGCACCTGGTGGCTATTTGTGTATATACACATCAGAATTATTCTCCTCAGTTTTGACTCATGCTACAGATTCTTTCAGTTTGACCTGGAAAGATTGCACTTGTACAGTAGTTTTCAAAACTAATGTATTTGTTAGTAAATGCATATCCCTGTTGTCACTGGAGTTTATCAGGCCATTTGATCAGAATTGGAAAGCTACAGAAATCTCTTTCCCTAGAACATAGTGGAGGACAGCAGAAAGGTAGGGTGTTGTTTGTTAGGTGTAGTTAGATGATTGATACATGTAACAGATGAGCTACAGTGGATATGAGACTGCTGCAAGACATGAATATGATGCAACAATGTAGTAGATCTCCTATTTATAGCTACAAGCTGCAGCAGTGCTCTTTCGGATTGGCTTCAGGAAATTTAAAAAAAAAGAAATTTGCAAAGGTAGTTCTCAAAACTAAACTGATTTATGGGAAGATTTTGTCCTATGCGAGTGAACAGTCTCTTTTTCATTGTTTACAATGCCTTTTTGCTTGGGAAACAAATGTAGCATCTTAGTACCTCCACTATTTTTAAACTCCAGTAGATGGTACTGTTTTATTTGTCTTTCAGAAATATGACAGCCACGGTTTCATGCTTTCTGATTTTAAATGAGTTGTCTTTTTAAAATTTTATATATACTCGATGTTGGTCAAAAGCTGTATAAAATGGAAAAATAATAGAATTGACTGGAGCAAAAAAACTGAATCATTTGGCTCTGAACCAAAAACAGAGGTTGTGCATTTTTCATCTTAATTAGAACACTTTTTTTCTCGTTCAGGTTTTTGTAAAACAGCTGAATGCATGCTGTTATGGAGTCAGTAACAGGGACAGGTCAGGGGAAAGAAAAGCATCATCCTTTTCCTGTCTGTCATTACCTTTTTATACCTCACTCACATCTTTAATGGTGGTGAGGGGGTAAATAGGTATTGCACAAGGTGTCTGAATTAACTGTTCCTGCCTCCATGTGAATGAGACATGATCTGCACAAAACGCAGACTTTTAAAAACAAAGTAAACAAGTTGGATTGTTTCAGGGATGTTTTAATGTTTCATAGTGATTGTGCCTTTTTTAAAAAAGTAAAATTCTATCCTGAATTAATTAACACGATTTTTTAAAAAATGTCTTTGTGACCTTTGTATCCATTTCCTGCTGCCTCAACTCTGACAATTTTAAAAAAGAGAAAATAGACCTTCGAAATGTGGATGCAAACCTAAATGATAAGACTTGTCTGATAGAGTAAGACAAATGAGGTGATATATGAAATTGCAAGAGCAAAAAGAAATGCCTGTTTTGGCCATTTTGATTAAATGCTACAAAGTGGAGGGCAGCAAAAAGAGGCCAGTCCCTGCAGAGTTGGATGATGGATGTGTGTGTAGCTGTAAAGAAGCTGTAGGGGATGAATGAGGATGATGTAAGACAGATGAGCATGGCAAACTGTGACAACCCATCTCCTGGCAATAACTATAGAGGCAGCAATTGGGCCTTCTTTCCACTCACTACTACATGCGATCTATGTAAACTTTCTTTCCAAATATGAAGTAAGTTGTTTTTTTTTTTGAAAAGATCCGTTATGTTATGGATATTGTATTCCTACCTGCTGCTGTTCAGCAAGGGAGTTAATGGGATTGTACAAGTGCCCTGTCTATCACATTGCCACCCACCCTCCACCCACCCTCAAGCTGAACCCTATAATAAGGGATAGACAAGTGCTAAAGTTGGCAGCTTGCCCACTTTGTGTAAATAATTAAGGGTTAATTTCAGTATTTGAAAGCTTGAGCGATCTCTCCACCACCATACTGTCATAACATAAAGTGAAACCTGCTTTTGTTAATAAGCCATCTTTCCCTTGTGAACTGCCTTCAGTTATGGATGCATGGACACTGGTAAACTCCGGGATTACTTTTGATTGCTATATGTCTAAGCCAATGCAGTGAATGTTGGCATAGTGGTCAATTATTGCAGTTTAGCCCAATCCTGATTCTTGCAAATATCTGCTCATCTGGAGCTTGTTTCCTCCCCACCCCATGCTTCCTATCAGTGCTGTTCAATTTAGCATCGTCAGCGCTGTACAAGAGTACTGGTAGCTGCATTTTTATCCTTCAACACTTCTAGACCACTTTACACTTGACTCCCACTCAGATTTGTGCATTTTCCTGCAAATTGCATCAAGAAAAATAAGTTACTGTAGTTTGACTGCTGGCTTCTCTCTCCCTATACCCTGTCCTGCTTTTAATACCTGGTCATGCTGTAAATAGTACTATTCTCCTGTTCTGATAAGTATCTTAACCTGTTTTCAGATCCATTTGTTATCCATCAACAAAGGTGTTGCAGTTTTTAGTTCTGTTTGGAAGAATGTTTGCTGTGAACATTTGGGAGGGATGCTTTTTAATAATATTTAATAATATTTACTTCCACCTAGGCCCTCCCATTCCGGTCAGCGAAATGGGTGAAACTGTTGGTTCTCCTACACCACCGCCACCATATTCCTGTGATCCCAATGGCAATGATCTCCCTCGAGGTGAGACCCTTTTCACTCTGAACAAAACCTAAGTTCAGAAGTGTTCAATTTTTTTTTATTCTAACAAAACTGTCTCTTCTTTTTTTAGATAGAAAGGTGGTCCAGTATTACTTCAACCTTGGCTTGCAGGTAAATTTAATTGGAATACAGAACTCGAGTGGCTGGCTCTACATGTCCATTGTCCTTCAAATGAGTCATCAAAAAGACATTCTGCAGAACTTCAGGGCATTTTACTTGCATTTGCTTTGCAAACTTATTTTTAAATTATGGCCCAGGACTTTACAGAGGATTTACCTTCGTGAGGTTCTCTGCAAACCACTTGACGTTTGAAGCAGCATGTGAGCTAAGTTGTGTTTTAAAGCTGAGATCACTGAGATTCTTGCATGAATGGGAGAAAATTAATGAATTTATGATCCAAGTTGTCTTTTGAGACAACTAGCAAAAACTATTTTTGGAACATGATTGTAAAAGCGTGTAGGGTCCATCCTGAATTTTGATTTGATTTTGTTTCTACAACTGTTTTGTATTCCTATCTGTTGGTTAAACATTAATTTGCAACACTGTAAAACATTTATCAATTTTTTAACATAGCAAGTTGGAAGTCCTTGTCAGTTTTGAGTGCATTTTTCTCTTGTTTCCAGTGTTGCCACCAAAACTATTGGCACTCAGTCTATATGCCACAACAACAGCCAGTGGAGTTTTACCCAGTCTTCCCTGCTGCTTCCCAGTTTATTGAACAGTCAACCATGCCACAGCCGTATGGTGATAATGGGAGAAGTGATGACCATCAAGGGACCTCTGACACAATGTCTAATGGCAAGTTTATTTCACTTTTTTTTTATTTGAAAACAGATTTTTTTGAAGTTTTGATCAATATTGGAAAAGACAATTGTCCAAACCTTCTGCTTTCGAAGAGAATAAAGTGCTCTGGTCAGGGGTGGCTTTGCTATATGTAGAATAAAACCCCTTGTATTCTACCCAAGAATATGTCAAGTCCCTAATCCTGGCTGGACTGGTTTTGCAATTCTATTCAATTTCCATTTAAAACCGTCTGAGGTTAACCACTTAGTTCTGAATCATGGACAGTTCTGTACTGGGTGCTGCCCACATGACAAACTTCTATGGAATATTTTTCCATTGTATTTATTCATTCAGGGTACGAGGGCTTTGCTGATTGGCTACATCTATTGGCCTTGAAGGCAGCAGTGAGCTGCTCGCTATCACTTCACATGTACTATTTCTTTCACATAAGCTGTTACTTTTACTAATGCTCGCTGGCATGTTATACATGCTCTGAATCTTTAAATAGCTTTATATAGCTGTTACTGCAATACAAAAATAATGTGATTTAAATAAATCCCTTTTAAAGGGTGCTGAACATGATTCTTCAAATGCAGCAATTAACTGTAAAGTTAAATTAGACTGAGCATAATGCAGTTGAGTAATGGTTGAGTGAACCCAGATTGACACTCTAAATGTCACGTGACTTTGTAGAAAAGAGACTTAACGATAACAGTCTGAGCAGATTGATTAAAGAGTGATGCCAAATTCACTGTCCATTTTCTGGCTTTCTTGTACATGCCTCCTAGCCAGTCTGCACTATTTAACCCACCAAGGTGTCTAAAATGGTAAGGGATTCTGTTCTGCACCTCGACAATGTGAATTATATTTTAAAACAACAATCGAACCGGAATGATCTCGGCACTAAAACTTGTATCAACATTTAAGTTGAACCAGCAATTTAAATGTAAATTGAGATTTCAGTTTTGAAAAATTCTGGACCTCCCTCACTCAAGCCCACGTTCCATGTCGTGTCAGAGGTTTAGGCAATTTCAGAACTTAATTTTTCTGAAGGATGTGATATGGGAGTTGGCTTTGTACTTGGAATTTAGAGGTAATTACATTGGGGGTGGGGTGGGATTCAATGGTTGATCCTTATCGCTGCTCGTTTCAGTCTTTTGAATACAATGTATGGCTTGTCTGTATAGAGAATATTGAAATGGTGCAGAATCACATGCTAAAACAATCTGGATCACGATTGAACAGGTGTTAGATAAAAGCAAGATGCAATCTGAAAGGAGATTGCATAAGTGTCAGATGGACATCTACAAGATGTTAGGTATCTTCAGAAACACTAGTATTTTCATCAATGTTCCCTCTTTAAAAAAATTTACACAATTTCTGCTTAAGTTTAAAAGAATGAAGTCGTTTTTATTTTAAAGGCGCTGGATGTTCCCAATCTGTTCCAGGCCTCTGGCAGTGGATGAATTCCAGAAGTGGGAATGACTGACTGACTGGCAAATACTGCCTTTATGTCAAAAAGCAGAGTATGCTTCTTGAATCTCTGGAAAATTCACGTTGATGGAAATTGAGGGGAAATACCCACTACCTAGAGTCATACTGTTATTGTTAGAGAACAGTTATCTCAGCCTCAAAATATTGCTAAAACAATTCTCATGGTGTTGGATTCATCCATCGTAAGAAGTAACAATATTCATTCAGCTCTGTTCACAATTCCTTTAGTGGAGAAATCCATGGTCCTGTGTAGCGAGACCGGGCTGATATGTGGCAATGAACTGCATGCCACGCAATATGCTAGGCAAAGACCCTCCCCAGTGAGGTGATCTTCTAACATCTCTTTGGTAATCCTGTTGAATTTCAAAGAATTCCCAAACATTTACATGTAGAGTTCACCCTGAATAGGAAATCTTATAGGACATTCACCATAAATGCTACATAATGCCATAGCTATAAAGGGTGGTCAGAGGATAAGTATTCTATGGCAAATAACTTTGCCTGACTCCAAATACTTGCTACCATCAATTGTAAGATGTGATGGAACCCGCTGTCCAATTACCTGAAAGTGTGCTGCTGCAGCAATGCTTGAAGCTCTGTGCCATCCAGAAGAAAGCATTTGCTAGATTGGCCTATCATTCACCACTTCAAGCATTAATTCCGCGCGCCCCCTCCCCCCCCACTGCCGCCTCAAGTGAGCTGTAGCTGTAGTATCCACAAGTTGCGCTGCTACAGGTCACCAGGGCTGCTTTCTGACCTCTAGCATAACAGGCAGAAGGAATGTGGGCACGACCAGCTAGTTCCCCATCAGGTCACGTTCCATCTTGAAAGTACAGCATTGTTCCTTTGCTGTTAAAAATCCTAGAACTTTTCCAATTAACAACGTTTGTCTTTATTTTCTCATGGGCTGGATCACTGTTTGGGGCAGCATTTATAGCCTATCCATAGTTGCCCTTAAAATGATAGTGAGCTGTGCCTTGAAATGGCTGCAGTCCTTGCTGTATGTAACACCCATAGTGCTGTTAGAAAGGGAGTTTCACAATTTTAATCCAGCAATATTGAAAGAAAGACCGTTGGTTCCAAGTTAGTATGGTGTGAGACTTGAAGGAGAACTTGCAGGTGGTGGTCCTTCTAGATGCCTTGGCTTGGAAGGTGGCTCACCACCTCTGAGGGCAGTTTCGGAATGAACAGATGTTGGCTTTGCTAGCAGTACCCATATCTCAGAATATTTTTAAAAACTGTTGAGCAAACCACATGGTTGGATAATGTTTAGGCAGAATTAGATATGATAATTGCAGGATTTTTAGTTCAAAAGTTAGGTAGCCTTTTTCAGCTAATTTAGATGATATAAAATGAAAAATTTATTGGGGCATCCTCACTTCTGGTCACCGCTTTGCCCCAAAAGAATTTTGCTTCCTTTTGGAACGTGTTGCATTTTCCAGGATGGGACAGAAGGCCACAGTTACATGTTGAGATCATGTACATAAGGAATTTACAGAAACCAGACTGTTAAGTAACAATGTTTTATGGCTTTTGGTTGGAGCAGATGTATATTTTTGGTACTGATGGGCTTTTTTTAACCCCTCTGCAGGATCTTATACTACTGTGGAGCCTCAAACTGTTCCTCATTCAACAATATACTATCCAGTACTGGCTGACCAGTACATTCCAGCACCTGCTTATGATCCCTGTGTCCCTGCAACATCCACACTTCATTATGTTGGTGCCTGGTACCCAACAAATCAGATGTGTAACAGTTCTTCGAGGCTGCAGAGCCCAGCACCTCAAGCTCCATTAAATTATGTTGGACCTGCCAATCTGCCTACACATTATGTATCGCACTAAGAGTACAATGAAAATGTTTGAATTTAACACTCCTAATTAGAGGTAGATTGTTTACCTCCTTGCCCACTGTCCCTCGCCCACCCTAACCACTATTGAGCATCAGATTCTTTATATGCTTTAATTCAGATTCAAGACATCTTTCACCTTTTCCACTGCATTTGCCTGAAATATTTGTATATGTGGCCTTTTATTTAAATAGCTATTCACATCTCAAGCCTGAGACTATCTCACTTTGCAGTAAAGCTCGCAATTGGGTTTGTAGACCAAAAATAGGGCAAATGTTGCTTGTCAGTAGATGTGCTTTATGCAAGTCCTTCCCACTGTGCAATATCAACAGAATTTCAACTTCACCTTGAATGAAATGTCTGTCTTCTGAAACCAGTTGAAGGGCCACCCTTCAAAGAAAACTTATTCCAACACTATATTGTACTGTGTTTCACTTGTTTTCTGTTTAAGTTGGTTGATTCCAGCATATAAACTGTACCGCTTCTACCTCATGTTTAAAATCTTTGATGTTTTTGAGATCTTCAGTTTGTGAAAGCTTGTATATTTTTGATACCCAGTTCAGTTTAACATGTTAACTTTCGTTTGCCAGTTTTGTGCCAGAGAACATTTGGCATAGATTTTTTTGTTTTAGACTGTTGATTGCTCAGTTCTGGAGTATAGTTCCAAAAGAAATGCTGTGTGGTTGTGGGTTCATCTTTCATTTCATGTTAAGTAATAAAATATGAGCACTGCAACCTACTTGCGTCAGTGTATTTTAGTTTTCACTGGACTGCACACAAAGCAATAAATACTGCAGTGAACTATTTGCAATCTTGCCTTGACTCTTCAGTCTAAACTTTTGTAACCGTAAAGTCAAAATTTGGATTGATGAACTGAGATGGGGCTGGGGATAAAAATGTAAAGGTAAACTTGATGGTGGTTACTTGATGCTACTGTTTCCAGAGAAATCAAAGCAGAGATTCAAATGGCTGAACTGGAAGTCTCTGGCTCTTTTGAAAAGCAGTCTAGTTAATGTCACCACCTCTTTCTGTGTAAATATGCATTCATTTTATCAAGTGATGATCAACTCCAATTGAAAACTGCTATTGTATGTTTTCTGGTAAATTCCTGATCATTTATTGCAAAATACTGCTCTTGTTGTTTCTGGTCTTTTGTCAATTATCTCACATCTATGCACTTCATTCATTTGCTTATTGGAAGCTGTTGCTTTTTATTTAGTCAAGTCCTTGATGTTAAACACCTCTATCAAGTCTCTTTGGGTTTTTCCCCTGAGATGAATGCCAGCTTCTCTGCCCCAGTGATTACTGAAACAAGCCATTGCAAGGCACGGTTTCTTACGAAACACTTCATTGGGAACTCCTAGTCATAGTAAAAAGTTGGTCTATAAATTACTCTGTCAACCAGGAGGACTGTGGAATTCTTCGACCCTCTACACTGTTCCAACCAAGCTCAGTACAGTCCTTAGAAGCTGTATTTAATGGGCACACTGCAGCCCTATGAACATTTTAGTTTTTGACTTCTACTTATGCTTCCATGTTTTCCTACTGTGTGGGAGACTAGTGATGTGAAGAGAGGACAGTCAAATGTGTGTGATAGCCTGGAGGAAGGCATGTTATCTACGCTTTGGTGTACATATTAGGTTGTTTCCTTCACAACACCAGTTTTTCATTTGTTTAAACTGTATCTATGCTTTCTGATTTTTTTTTTTCCCCCCTCCATTGATCTCTCCCCAGCCATGTATAAAATTTTCATCCAAATGCAAGAGTCTGACAAAAGTTATCAATCTGACGTTAAATGTTTCTCTGCATAGATATTGCAAAACCTACTGAGTAGTTCTAATATTTTCCACATTTATTCTGGATTTACATTTGTAATGTTACTTTTGTATCTTCAAATGACCAGCTGATATCAAGCAGCACTTAATTCAGCAATAGTCTTTGCACTGATGTTCAGTTTGGAGTCTACTAAGGTCACTCTGCTCCTAACTTCATTGCATGCAAAAGTGCTGAACTCCAGAGGCTAGGTTAGAATGAATGTCCTTGATCAATGCAACATTTTGATAAAGTTTGACTTTAAGGAAGCCCCAGCAAAATTGAAGTTGGAAGTTGAGTGGCGTAGAGGGGCTGAGAGGATCAAGTCTGCACTAGTTGAAGTCCTAACTGTCATGCTTGTGGATGTTGGAATACAGTCACCTCAGCCCCAGAACATCATTACAGTAATTCTTCAGGATTCTGTCCTTTACCAATCATCTACAGCTGTCTAATCAATGACCCCTTCAACATAATGCCCAAAGTGTGATGTTTTATTTTTGAACAGTGTTCAATATCATTTGAGATGGCTCATGCTGAATTTAGCATGTCAGCTTGCAAGTCAGGGCATGAGAGCAGGTGCCTGGGTCACTGCAGACAAATGCAGATAAGAGCTTGCATTCAAATTGAGGAGCCCAAAATTGAGGTTTTAAAACCAGAGTGGAAGATTCACCTAGCTTGAGCTAAAGGAAGAATTTCCAGGGAAAATAAAACTAACTGAAAAACAGGTCTGGTTTTAGAGCAACCAGGCTAGGAAATGAGAAAAATGGAAATAAAACCCTTGTTACATTTTGTATGTATGTGCTGAGAATCACTTTGGACTAGTTACAACATATTAAGTCAGGCACTGTGAAATGTAACAGTGAATAGTTAAGATTTTAAATGTTAAAAAGGGAATGTTATTTTCTGTAGTTTTAATACAAGTTGTATATCATTCAATGTTACCTTTGGTTGCTACAATAGGATCCTTAAAATTTGAAACCTTATCATGCAACTCCTTGGCCATGGAGAACTTTGATTTCCTTACGAAAGTCAATTTCCTTCACCAAAAGGATGTTAATAAGTTGCTAGTTTCCTTGGCACAATTATTGGTCTAAGTTTTAATTCTAGATTTAGCTAAGTAACAATTTATAATCCAACTACTATGGTGAGAATTGAACTCGCTAGATAGATTTGCTAGATTACCAAACCAGTAACGTAATCGCTGCTTGTATAACTTTGCATGCATGCAATCTTGGAATGTCAGCTTTGTAGGTAGTAAGTGCTAGCTACCTTTTTATAGTCTTAAAACAGATAAGGAATGAGAACAGGAGTAGGCCACTTGGTTCGTCAAGCCTGTTTTGCTATTCAGTTGGATCATGCCTGATCTGACACCCATGTCCACTTTCCTACCCTTTCCCTGTAACCCTTGATTCTCCTATCTATCAAGAATCTATCTCCATCTTAAATATACACCAGGATTCCGCCCCCGCAGCTCTGTCAAGGAGTTAGAAAAACGCTCAACCTCGGGAGGAAAAGAAACTCCTTCACATCTCAGTCTTACATTGACACCATTATTGTGACTATGCCCTCTAGTCCTAGATATTTTCCATAAGAGGAAACATCCACTCAGCATTCACCCTCTAAAGCCCCTTCAGAATCCTGTATGTCTCAATGAAATCTCTCTCTCCTGAACTCCAAGTAGAGTAACAACCTGTTTTAATCTTTGCTTGTTAGACAGTCACTCCATACCAGGGATCATCCTGGTGAACCTTGTCTGAACTGCCTCCAATGAAATGATATCTTTGATTAACTAAGAGGACCAAAACTGCTCAGTACTCCTGATGTACTCACCAGCACCTTGTTACAGTTGCAGTAAAACTTCCATACTCCATCTCCTTGAATTACCTGCTGCATGTGTGCTAGTTTTGTTTCATGCACAAGTACCCAAGCTGCTTTTGTGTTGCAGCTTTCTGCAGTTTCTTCATTTAAATAATCTGTTCTCTTGTTCTGTCTTCCAAAATGAACAGCTTCATATTTTCCCATATTTATGCTCCATTTGCTGCATACTTAATCTCTCAGTACCTCTGAATTTTGTATCTTGTTTCCTGTCTGACCCAATTCTCTATACATATCAATGTATATCTCTGACATCATAGGCTATTATTTTATGACTTAACCTTGTGTGAGACACCTTGTCAAATGCCTTCTGGAAGCCCAAATATAGCACATCATCTTCTGGTTTCCCTCTATCAAATCTCCACTCAGTCCACCATGCTGTTCCCTTTTCATGAAGCCATGCTAACTGCTTGTTTAGTTTGATTTTACAAATATTCTGTTATTACCTCTAATTGATTCCAAAACTCTTCCAACAATCATTGTTGAAAAAAGTGCTGGTGGGCTGCTTTCATGAACTGCTACACTCCAGGGGCCTAAAGCAAATTGGGGGTCAGGGGACTAGGAAGTCTTTCTTTGTGTGTACTGAGGTTACTTTTTGACTACATCTCCTCACCACTTAGACTGCCTAATTCTTTCACTGTACTATCATCTGACTCTGCCTATGCCTCAGCCTGTCTATTTTTTGAAAAGCTCATCCATGTTCTTCCCTCTTGAGTATTCCAGTGCATGTCTGTCATTTTATTTCAAACTTGCACAAAAGTCTGCTGTTACATACGTACACCAAGTCCTGTGCACATATCGGTGTTGTGCTTGCTGACCCAATTAGTTCCTGATTAAGCAATGATCTTGTCTGTATCTTCAAATGATTCCATAGTCTTGCCCCCTTTTTTTAAATCTGTGATTTGTCTTCAGCTACACAACCCTCCAAGATATCTGCTCAAATTTTGATTGCATGAACACCCCTAATTTTTAATTGCTCTACCTTTGGTAACGGTACTTTGAAGCCAAGGGCCTAAACCCTAATTTACTCCTAAATATTTCCTCCTTTACCTCTCTCGTCTTGAGGCACTTTTTCTTCTGACTAATCTTTATTGCCTTACATGGTTCATCATTTTTTTTCACTTAAAACTTCTGTGCAATGCCTTGGGATGTTTTATTACTTTAATGGTGCTGTACAAATACAAGTTTATCATTTACAGGAAGTGTGGTTTCTCTTTAGAAAACACCCCCACATTCACACATTCTACTGTATTTAATTTTATAAAATAATTCCTCATGGACATGACCCAAAGCTCCTTGTGGTAAAGTATCTTGATATACTGTATTATAATTGAGTTGTTACATAGTCCTCTTGATGACTGTTCCACCTGGTCATTAGCAAGTCACAGGCTTCCCCCCAGGAGTCATAGACATCACTTGATGAGTCAATGAGTTTGTTATTGGAGGTACTGATATTGGAAGAACAATTAAAGGATTCAAAGTTAGCTGAACAATGGCTATCAATTCTGTTCCTTCTGTTTACTTCATTAAGACCAACAGCATTAAGACTGCTCTCACTCTTTGTTGTATTGTTAGGACTGGAAATTTCGGAATAATTGAAGTCCTGCCACATATTTTGTGCTTGAAGTAGTCCATCAGAAATGCTTGACACTGGCTCTGGACTTGGTTCAGAAAGTTGCCCATTCATTTTGCTAAACAAAAGGCCAAGTCTTTTAAATGAATCCTTCTTTGAACTTGGATATCTCTGAAATCGATTGCCATTTCTGACTGAAGATGATGGTTTACTCAGTCTGTTATTTTTGGATTTCTCTTCATTAAGGTCGATTCCAGAAACTGATTTGATTAGAGCTGAAACACTAAAAGAGTTCATTTTCAGCTTCTTTCTGTCATTGCTTTCACCTGCCAAATTGAATGATACAATTTTTTTCATTTCTTCAGCACTATCTTCCTCCAAATCTCCTATTTGCATTCCATCGCTGCTGGTAGAGTATGTCCTTCGAGATGATTTTCTGTTTCCTAACAGGTCAAGAACCTCATAGCGAAAACTGGAGATATCCTGTTTCAGTTCCTATGATAACAATAAAATATTTTATTTTATATGGTCTGTACATGTTAAACTCAAATTTAAGCTGTTGTAGCTTTATGTATCAAATTAACAAAAAGTCAAGTTACCAATTTATACAGACCCTAGAAAACCCAGCTATATCAGCTG